GACAGGAGTTGGATCCTTGGAGACCATACAACAGTAGAAGGAGAGAACCAACTCCATAAGGTATACTCTAACCTTCACATGCCTGTCAGAGTGTGAACATACTCAAACTCATCCACACTCACCCCACTCACCCACACTCACACACCCACAACCAAACACACACTCACTAATACCCACACCCACTCACTCTCTCTCTTACACACACACACACGCAGAGAGAGAGAGAGAGAGAGAGAGAGAGAGAGAGAGGAGAGAGAGAGAGAGAGAGAGAGAGAGAGAGAGAGAGAGAGAGAGAGAAATACTGACAAAGCCGTTTACAAATGCTTCAGTCTCACTGAGGGTACTCTCTAGATTTGTTACAACGAATGTAGTTTTAAAATAAGACAATAAATATCCACTATAATGCTGTTTTATATTTTGAAAGTAACTTAAATAAGTTAAATAGGCAATGGTCTTAAATGACCACTCAATTCTATGACTGTAGCATCCCATACAAGGTTCTTTGAAACCAACAGACCTTTTATCTAGACCAGCCAGTCAAAAAACTCCAGTGACCCATTAGTCACTCACTTACAGTGACTTTAAACTGGATTGAACTTCCATATCTGTTCTCTCACTTTTTTCATTTCTTGAATTTTTATTTTTATTAGTTAAGAATTAATTTTATATTCCAGACCACAGTCTCTCCTCACTCCTCCCTTCTCACTCCCTCCACTCAATGCACCCTTTCTCAGTATTCACTCATAAAGAGGCAGGCCTTCCATGGGCATCAGCAAAGCATGGCATATCAAGCTTCCATAACATCAAATACCTCTCCTGTATTCAGGCTGGGCAAGGCAATTCAGCATAAGGAATATATTCCCAAGAGCCAGCCAAAGCACTAGGGATGACCTTGCTCCCATTGTCAGGAGTCCCACAAATATACCAGGCTAGACAATTGCCAATTATATGCAGAAGGCCTAGGTTAGTCCCATGAGACTACCTGGTTATAACTTTGAATGCATGGGCAGAGGAGACAACTTCCTAAATAGAACAGCAGTAGCACAGATAATAAGATTAACAATTAATAAATTAGACCTCATGAAACTGAAAAACTTCTATAAGACAAAAGACACTGTCAATAGGACAAGACAGCAGCCTACAGAATGGGAAAAGTTGTTCACCAACCCCCATATGACAGAGGGCTGATCCCTAAAATATTAAAGAACTTGAGAAACTAGACATAAAAAACTATATAATCCAGTTTAAAAAACTGGGTACAACCTTAACAGAGAATTCTCAACATAACAATCCCAAATGGCAGAGAAACAAAGAATGTGGACATCCCTAACCATCAGGGAAATGGAAATCAATATGACCATGAGATTCCATCTTATACCAGTCAGAACGGCTAAGATCAAAAACACAAGGACAGCTCACGCTGGAGAGGATGTAGAGTAAGGAGAACACTCCTCCATTGATGGTGGGATTGAAAACTTATACAGCCATTTTGAAAAGCAATATTGCAGTTTTCCAGAAAATATGTAATTGATCCAGCTATATTACTCCTAGGCATATAACCAAAGGATACTCAATCACACTACAAGGTCACTTGCTCAGCTATGTTCATAGCAGCTATAGTGATAATAGCCAGAACCTAAAAGCAACCCAAATGCCCCTCAACAGAAGAAAGAATAAAAATATGTAGTTCATTTACACAATGGAGTATTACTTATGTGTTAAAAATAATGACAACAGGAAACTTGAAGGCAAATGAATGCAACTGGAAAAAATATCATCCTGAGTGAGGTAACCCAGACCTAGAAAGACAAGCATGACATGTACTCACTCATAAGTGGATATTAGCTGTATTGTAAAGGATAACCATGCTGCAATCCAAAGGACAGAGAAAGACTAGGTAGCAAGGAGAGCTGAGGGGGATGCATGGATCTCCTTGGGAAGGGAAATGGAGGAGATCTCCTAGGTGGACTGGGGCAGATGGGAAAGAGAACTTGAGGGATTGGGTTGGGGGGTAGATGGAGAAGGAGAGCTCTGACAAAGATGATTGGAAGTGGGGTGATTTATGGAGATTGAGTCTGGTAGAAGCCTGATAGAAGGGAATCCTCCACGAGTCTGCAAGGATGGCCCAAGCTAAGATTCCTGGCAGCAATGAGTACACACCCTTAACTGGCCATTCCTTGTGATCAGATTTGTGACTACTCTGTTGTCGTGGGAAAGCCTTCATCCAATGACTGATGGAAGCAGATACAGAGACTAAATATTGGGCTGAGATTGGGAGTCCTGCTGAGGACAGGGAGGGGGGATTGCAGGAGTCAATGGGTGAGGGACATCAGGTGAAAATCTTTTCTTGCTTTTAATTTAATTATTGTGAACCAATTAGTATGTAAAACATGTGGAGGATATGGAATATTGTCTAAGCCAGATTATCTTGGGTCATCTTTTGCCCAATTTATTAATTTCTCTATATGTAACCTATCATCTTTTTTATCAGTTGTTAAGTCCTTTAGAGTTTATAAACAGATCTCTAGGTATCACTAAACAAAAGGTTTAGTATGCTATCAGGTATCATCTGCGGCCTATAGCAAAGACTTCCCCAGATTTTGTGACTTACTTATCTGATATTTTTACCAATGCATTAAAAATGTGTCCTGATTTTTAATTTCCTTTTTCTGTAAATTCAGAATGTCATGGAACTCTTATCATATTTAAACATGGTACACAGGCTGAGTTAAATCAGTGTTTGCAGGCCAGGGTCATGGTCACTCAAGTTTGGCTCCCGAATATATTGTCTCTTACTTCCTTTGAGATGGGAGTTGTGTGTTTGCATCAACATTAAGTATATCAACAAGTTTAAGTCATCACGGGGTCAGCAACTGTGTCAGCAGCGTGGCCATGCCGGCCTAACCTCTGCCAGCCACTTCAGGAAGTGACAACAAAGGATGCCAAGATGAGTGACACTGCAGGTGGAGGCAATCTTTGTGGGAGAGGCGCTTCCTTCCACAGCCCTAGTTTCCTTTCTGGATCCAGGTAAAGAGCAAAGCAGCATTACCCTCTGATGTCCCCATAGAGTCACATCAAATGCACTTAGTCTTGCAAGTTTCTGCAAAGCTTCTACAGTTCAATGCAGCCAGAGAAGACACTTCACTGAATAGTTTAGTGTTTATGAAACAAATTGAGTCGATAGAAGGTGAGTGGATGAAAGTACAGTGTGAAGTATACTGTCTAACCTGCTCTATTAATTAGCCTAATAACTGCTATAGAATGCCTGTACAATTGTTATGTCTAACATCAGCTATTAGTTGGGCTAGGCGTGTGAGATGCTTCTATGATAATGAAACTGATGGTTATAACAGTCTTCTGCAAAAGGACAACACACAGGTTACTGTCTGTCAGGATGGGGAAAGGAGACAACTGGCAACATACAGTGGTACACTCTGTGTTGCCATCAGCGGCCATTCTCTCTCGTTCAACTTGTGGGCTCCTCTGATTTTGAATCCATACTGGAGTACTACTGCTAACCACACTCAAAGTTAGAAATTATCCAAGGAAGTGAAATAATGAATGAATGAATGAATGAATAAGACTCTTCAGCCTTGTGAATTTATACCTTCCCAGAAGGGTCTTCCCTGAGTGAAGCCTATCTCTGAAGATCACAGATTCTCTTGTCCTTGAACATGCCTGACTGTCTATCTTAAATTTCCCAAATGGTAGCATGGCTGAGTCATGGTGGAGGAGACTGAAAATTTGAACCTGTGCTGTGAGCCAAGTCAACTATACCTACCAAACCCCTTACCTCAGTTCAGGGCACCTTCACCAGGAATATCTTTATTTTAATTCTCTTTACCACTTGCACAAGTCTCACTGTGAACACTGTCTGGGGAGGCAGGGAGTGAGAATTCCTAGAATCTATGTCCACAACACAGCTAAACTACTTTCCTACTTATCATGCTCTTAAACAGCCAAACCAACAGACAATGATGCCTGAATTTATAAAATTATAGTGAAATGAATAGGGAAAAGCCAGAAAAGACAATGGTCAGCAGCACGCATGATCCTCCCAGGCCAGAGGCCATGTTCAGTGCTCTGTGTGGGAAGTTCTCTCTTCCCACTTCACCTTCCCAAGTAAACTGAATGCAAGCACAGTGCTTGGTTGTCCTGAGCCTAGGCTGTATCATCCTGCATGTTAAGTGTTTTGAATGTATTGTCTTATTTAGGTCTCAAAGCAACTTTGCTGGTGGTTTTAGGAGATAACGTTATTCTAAATTTTATACATGGCAATCCCAGAGAGATTAAAGAACTTGCCCAGGGTTACATAATTAGGGGCAGAACTAGGAGAACAGCCCATGTCTCTTTGTTTCCAGTGCATTTAACCCTACTTAAGAATTCCCAAGCACATCGGTTTGTAAGATCTGAGCACACGTTTCCATCTTTTCCTCTATCAATGAGTTCCTTCGGGGAAGAATTTATTTCATCAATTTTAACATCTCTAAGGCATAGGATAATGCCTAATAGAGAACAGGAACTCAATGGCTGTCAAGTAAATAAGATGATGAATTAGAAAAAAATAGAAGATTAAAGGAATTAATTTGAAAACAGTTAAACTCACAGCAAAAGTTCGTTTGATACAAGGATGCTGTCCCCATGTAAGCTTTGTGCACCCCATTTCTGTTTTAGCTACATATGACTCTTTTATGCGAAGCACCATTTTTACTATACAAATGAATAAAATGCTTTTAAAACTGTGCTTCACTCCAGGACTTAAATGATCGAAATCAGAACGTGGCACAAACAGCACCAGCATATAATCATATGCTGCCTATAATAAGCTACTTGAAGTGTTCTAATGGGTTGCAATTTTGTAATCTAGGCACAAGAAGATATGCTTTTGATAATATTATTTAACACAAGTGCTTCAACTAGCTTGAATGGAACACAACTCTGATCTTTGCATTATATAGATGTTCTCTGTTTCCTTATCAGTAGACAGTCTTCACTGGTACCTTCACATCCTTTGCCATCTTCCTCCAGCTTTTGGCCAGCTTGACATCTGCAGTAATAACTGCCAATCGTATTGCAGCATTGGTCATGACAGCCACCATTGTCAACAGCACATTCGTTTATATCTGCAATTGGATAGTTGTAGAGAATCAGTCTCTTCGAAGTAAACACACATGAAAAAACTACAATGCCTCCTAAAATCTGTCCAACAATCTGACATTCCTTCTTCCAGATTTAAAGGAGAAAAGGAAATAACATCTTGTTTTATTTTATTTATTTTGTGTCTGTGTTCATGTGCATATGTGTATGAGTATGTATGTGATTGTAAGCATGCACACAGAATAACATGCACATGGAGCTCAGAGGGCAATCCCAGGTGTCCTCACCTGCGATGGATTCATTTGGGTGTATGCTATGATTCTTGGCCTGTGAGTTTATGAGACCTCCCTTATCTGTCACATCTTGACACAGAAGCCCCAGGATTGCAGCTGTGCAGTTGTGCCCAGTTGTGCATGGGTATTAAACCTCAGGTTCTCAAGCTTGTGCAACAAGAGCTTTACCTAGTGAGTTATATCCCCTGTCCCAGCATCTCATTTAATTAGAGCTAACGTGCTCTAGAGAAATAGTCAAGTCCTAATCTTTCATATCTGAAGCAGTACCTTTAAATAATTAAATAAAGAGTTTTTAGTTCAGTAAATTTGGAGAATTCGTAGGACAGATAAAGAAATTTCCTACCACTCAGCAATTCAAGATGAGATCCAGAACATGAAGAGAAATTGCAGTAGTGTTCTGTAGTATCCAGCAGGGGTTGGGAATTAAACAGAGCCATGGTTTGGTTGTGCCTACTTCTAAACTCAAGGCTAAAAGTCATCTTTAGTTATAAAACTCAAATCTATGCATTCTTCCCATCCAGCTAACACCTAAGACACATTCCAACCTGGTTTTAGATTTGATAGTGGCCTGCCAGGTAACTTTATTACACTTCTGTTCTATTAAGCATGCTCAGTATATGCAGACGAGTTATCTTGACAGATTCTTGCTCAGTAAGAGAAATGTGTTAGGAGGGAGCAGGTGTGGGAGGGAGAGTATAAGGGAGAGGGTAAGTAAGGGTGGGAGATCTGGGGGAAGAAAGAGAGGAGAAAATGGGGAGACTGACCAGTGAGGAGCAGCAGAAGCCAAGTGGAAACAGATGGAAGGGCTGTGTGTCCAATCTGAGTGACTACAAGAGCATGGTGTAAGTGGTATTTCAGGAACGAGGAGGCAATAGGCAGAGTGACCTACAGGGAATCTTGATTGGACTTTACTTAACTGCATCCAGCCTGGATATACTACCTTGGAAACTCCCATTTCTCGTTTTTAAACTATTCAATGAACTGTGTTATACATACTGAAAAGAATCCAACCCTCAAGTATATGCTTTGGTTTTGTAAAAATGAAGTGTACAAGTGCGTTTTTTAAATTGTGTGGATTCAAGCTGAGGGTCTGTGTGTGCCAGGCTGTGCTCTCGTGCTGAGTCCAACCACAGACTAGCAGCACAAGCTTCCAGCGAGGACCAAGAAGCACTCTGTGTAGCTGAAGGTCCTTTGACCTTGAGACACCAAAGATCAGCTTTGCTTGTTTGTAATGTGTCCAGACAAACTTGGAGTGTGAGTTTTGCGTGTTTTTTCCTGCCATCTTTCATTACTCATCCATTTACAGACACATCCATGTGCTGCATGAACTTGTAGCTCATGGCTTATTGCCCCTATATAACACTATATTCTATGGATTTATCAGAATGTTTATTTATCCATTTTGCAGATGAAGCACAATTGGCCATTTAGGTGGTTTTGATGACTGTGAAGAGTGTTGACATGAATGTTTCTATACAAGCAAGTCTTTGATTGATGTACACATGTACTTCAACTGGATGATATATCTCAACTGGAATCACAGGTTCAAACAGTCTGACATGTTCTACTTTCGTAGTTATGACTAAGCCATCTCCCAAAGAGATTAATCTAAATTATACTCCCTCCAGCTGTGTATTGAGGACAAGATGCCACTAATTCCTTATAATATTTGGGATGTCCTGTTTCTGTTTCAGGTCCTCTGGAGAAGATTTTTAATATAGTTGTAACTTAATTTGTATTTTCCTGGTTATTAATTCAGTTAAGTACCTTTTCATGTTATTGGCCATTTGGGTGACATTTGTTTAAACTTTTGTTCAAATGTGTTGTCAATTTGTTTAACTCTTAAAATATTGGTTATTTTACATATTGGTCTAAGAGTATAATCTCAAACAAAAGAGATGTTTGCAATTGGCTGTTTCTGCTCAAACCTTGGAAGGATGATTTTTAACATGCACATCATAGGAGTGGAAATGAATATATATTTCAATCAATCAATCTATGAAGATTCATCTGATCAGATTAATAATATTCTCATTTTGTACATATTTAATTAATAATCAAGTGGAAATTCTTACCACTACTGAATGTACACAGGAAATTATTTGGTTTTCTTACTAATTTGTAAGCTGATAAATGACACTGACTGATTAAGCACCTCTAAAACAAAACTTACCAAGATATTGTGCCCCTGTCATACATTTCTGGATTCAACTAGGACTTTAAAAATTATATTGGTGGTTATATTCATGATATGACTAGTATTTTTTTCCTTTCCCTTCTAGTCTCCTCATGATTTTTGTAACACCAGGTTCTTGTACTCACCTTTCATGGGAACAAAAGCAGGTTAGAACTATTTTTTTTCTGTCACTTGAATAGTTTAGTTTTATTTCTTACTTCAATGTTTGTTTAAGTTCATTTATTATGGCACTTGCAGCATGTGGCTATTTGTGTATTGTATCTCTATATATACACTATGTTGTGTGTGCAATGACTTATGAGCTTAATTTATTTATTACATATAAAATGTTTGATTAAATAGCTAAATGCATTGGGGTAAATTGTATCACTCAAGGAATTATTTTGTTTCATATGAATTTCTGAATATAGTGCTATTAAGTTTTTTACATAATTTTCATGCTTTTAGATACCCAACTTGCCTAATCTGTACTTAGGTCTCCATTCTTGTTCTCAGAAATCATTTTGAAGAAAGAATATTGAGTGATGTGCTTGTGTTCTTATAAATTCTCTTCTTTATTTTTGCTTGGATTATTTCAAATTCCCCTATATCTTTTTTATAATTCATCATCTATCTATCTATCTATCTATCTGTGTATATATTTATATATCTGTCATATGTCTATCATCTTCTATGCCCCCGTCTTAGTCACTGTTCTATTGCTGTGAAAAGATACCATGACCAAGCAACTCTTACAAAAAAAGCATTTAATTGAGAACTTGCTTACAGCTTCAGAGAGTTAGTCCTTTATCATCATAGCAGGGATTGAGGCATCAAGAGCAACACTAGGCCTGGTGTGGGCTTTTGTAACCCTAGAGGCCACTTCCGATGGCACACCTCCAACAAGACCACACCTCCGAATCCTTCCCTGATAGCTTATAACTGGCGACCAGTGTTAGCTTATTCTCATTCAAACCACCTCATCATCCATTCAACATCTCCATCCCAGCTGTTTGTCACTTAACTTGTGTTTTCCAAAACAAAGGTCTAGGTGTTGTATATTTTTCAGCAATGCTCATTTGTTTTCTCAGTTATCTATACTTCTGCATTATGTTCCTTCTTCTCCTTTCTGTGTGTTTCTCTTATTTTCTAAATTCTGTAATTGTCTTTTAATCTTACTTTAAACTATATTTCTGTTCACCTATATATGTGTGGCAATCTACCCCAACAGTAGGTGGGTAAAAGAAAATGTGTTATTTTCTTCCATGTTTCTGGGAATTGACAAGCCCAATTTGGTGGTGCTCCTAAGATAGTCAGTAGAATCAGGTGGCAACTGAACTCATCCTGTATGCTGGGTGTTCGTTCAATGGATGGAGGTTCTGGAACTTCTGGAGAAAGAGAAACAGGTTGTGGATGAGGAGAAGGAGGAGAACCATCAGAAGGGAGAGGAGAAGAAACAGGAGAAGGAGGAGGAAGAGCAAGTGAGGAAGCAAAGGAATTCATTCTTTTATAGAACAGTTTCATGTGTGACATAAGGGAGAAAGAAACCATGCCAGCTTCTGAATACAGCGTTTTCACTGGTATATATGGGGCAAGGCACAAGTCTCCTAAAGCTAAAGTACTGCCTATGCCTCACAGTTTTCAGTTTGTATTTTAGTTATTATTCAACTCAAAATTCTTCCTTATATAAATGAACGTTTCTTCTTTAAATTATTTTAAATTATACTTAAGGGTCTTTCTTCAAAATCAACGAGGAGTTTGACATGTCTTGTTATGAAATGTTATATCAATTTCATGGTGGAGACAGTATATATTCAACAAAATATCAGTTCTTCAAAATTTGTTAAATTGTTTTATAGGCTAACACTTGCTGGATATTGGTTTTAAAGTATATGTATACATTTCAAATATGTATAAACATGTATATTTATTTAGTTTGAGTTTTCTACATAGGCTTTTCATATTTTTACATCTTCGAGGATTTTCTTAATCAGATTTTGTTGGTCCTTTTACGATTGAAAGTTTTGTTTCATACAGTTTGAAGCTTTATTAACATTGTCACATTTTCCTAGCACATATGACCCTCTGTTATAAAGCGTGACTTTTTAGATCTAGCATCTCTCATTAAAGTTGACTTTTTGTGACATTGTTACCTGTATCAATTTCCTTTTGGTTACCATTTGCATGAATTTCATTTTCTAAAGTCTGTTTTACCACTTCATTATTCACACATTTATTATTCACACATTTGAGAATTTCTCAATGTGTAATTTGAACATATTCTAGTTCTTTCCAAACATAAACATATTCTAGATACCCACCATCTTACTTTTTTAACTATAGGATGACACTCAGTAACTGACCTATGACTACTGACATCCTTTTACTAAATTGACAATTTCCAATTTTATATAAATTTGAGATATATTATGCTATAATTTTTATCCATAAACACTTTCCTTTAAATTTATGATTTTAGTTTGTCATTTTCCCGCTTTTGTCAACTGTCTATTGTATATTAATTTATTAAATTTAGTGGTAACTCTAGACACCACAG